TATTATTATTATTATTATTATTATTATTATTATCCCATACAAATTGGTCTATACAAGGTAAAAGTAAGTAAAAGAAATAAACTATTAAAACCTATTTCAACAGTATTATTATTATTATTATTATTATTATTATTATTTATCTTAGTTTTAAACTCTTTTCTGTCCATTGCTGCATTTCTTGGAAATGCTAGATCGAATTTTCCCTACCAAACCGATTGTATTTTTAAAATGATTTTAAACTGTTTCTTGAGTATTTTGGCGATTTGAACGGTTTTTTGCAGTTACGATAGGGTATTTTAGTGCTATTTCATAAATAATTCAAAATTTTGCTCTCTGTTTGTAATGTATTTAAATGTATAGTTAAAAAATTATTTTATGACATTGAAATAATTTTCCATCAGTTTTTATGTATTTTTTAAACAGGGTTTAAATAGATAATTTAAAATCTATTTCAAGACTACGTCCGCAAACATTTTGTATAATAGTTTTAAAATACTAGTTAAACACTGTTTTGAATGCAATCTTGGCCAAGGTTGTAGATATGAAAGGTAGTTTACAAATTATCAGTGTAATAATAGTCTTTAAATAAGATATTTAAAACGTGCTTGTCAAATTAACATTATAGATCAGATTTTTAAACATGATATTCAGAATGCAGTTGACACGTCAACAGCATAAAATACGTTTTAAATAGAATAATTGAAGCCTATAGTTTTCAAATGCAGTCTGTTTTAAACATATTTTAATTTAATGGTAGTTTTAAATGATGACAGCAAGGTCCTTAAACAGATTTTAAATTCACTATTTTTTTTACTATTTTGAGACGTGCAAGATCAACATGTCTAACCCAATAATAATTGAAAGCCTGTTTACAACAACCAAAAGAAATTAAAGTGGAAGTACATGTAGATGGTATATATATATCTAAAGAATATTTGCCTAATCCACTTAAAAGAAGGATTTGAATTACTCTCAACAAAATTTGCATCTCTTATTTAAAAACTGCTTTCATTTTTTTTTCCATTCACGCTACATGTTCAAAAACATTTAACATATTTGATTACAATTAACTGTTGTAGGTTTAGTCTGTTAAAAATTAACGAGACAATGTAATCCAAATTCTACTCCAATATATGATAAATGGGCTTTAATTGAACAGGCTATACACCATTTGCTCAATACGTGATGTTGCATTCAATGAGATTGAGTTCAATGATTATTGTTTCTTTGCAAAGAAATCTCCTTAAATTAGCAGCAGATGCAAATGCAAAATCATTACACACTTTGGCGGAAGAAGGGATCTAACTAACAAAATATTTAGGTATATGCATGTACGCTCCATCCTTGCAGTGAAATCCTGATTTCTTAAACATTTACTCCTTCAACCGCCAGATAACTGCAACCATTTTCATTTGATCTGCTTCGACACTTTGTCAAACACCGCAAAGTGAAAGTGTCATTTATTTATAAGCGAGGAAACAGAAAAGCTGTAAAACCTTTGTTGACTTCGATAAAACAAACAGCAGCTTGTACTCAGTGCTTTGGAGGAGGCGGGAAATGAGTTCAAAACCAGCACTATCTAGGTATAAAAAGTATTTCTTTGGTAGTAAAACCATCTGCTCAACTTGTTAAACTGTTATTTTTTTTTTTTAATTGATAGCTCATGGATGGCGGGAATCAAATTAAAAAGCTAAAGCGTAAATTTTGATCAAGACAATCCACTTTGTAGTTAAAGTCATGTTGCTGTAGAGTAATGGCTACAGCAAACGTTTCTGGAGACGAAAAGCAAAGCAATTTTTTCAGAACAATCTTTGTGTTGGTCTTATTGCAGAGCCTCTCGTCACTTTATCGGTGACTGTGGTGAATGAACATTGGAACGTTTGTCGCTACGTAGCAGTCGCAGTTTCTATTACAAGCTATATTTCGGGCGGTGTGTCTCT